GACGCTCTACAGCGTCAGTGGCCTCTCTCACTGACTTAAACTGCCTCGTGTGCAGTGTCAGGATCGCGTCAATAGCCTTTTGGGCCTCTTGCGGATCATGCCACCTGTCTTCCACCAACTTGAGGAAGTCATCCAATTTCTGGATGACCGCCCAAGCGCGAAAGTCATGACCGCACCCCTGGAGCTGCACTAAACCGCTCAACCATCTTGCTGCAATCCCCTCTAGATAGGAGGCAGCCACAAACACTTCCTCGTGCGACAAGGTAAGTTTGCACTTAACATAAACTGGCACTGCCCTCAACCATGTGTCGAGGTCTTCACCCCTCTTATCCCCTGTAAAGGGTTTAGGAGCGGCGGTGGCCGTCTTTGGAACCCACTGACTTTGTCCCGGTACCTGCACCATTCCGGACCGTGGACCTTGTGGTGCAGGCTGCTGCACTATCTGCTGGGGCTGTGAACCCTGCGGCGGTGCAGACTGCGAGACAGCAGGCTGCCCGCTTACGACAACCTGAGACGGAGGTTTGGAGAACATTGTCTGTACAGGAACCTGCAAACTAGGACTTGCTAAGAACCCGCCTGTTAAAGGCATACCAGGGAGACAGGCTGAACCGATGCTGGAGCGGTATATGGGGATACCCCAGTCATCGGTGTGACAAAAGGAGGAGGATGTACAACGGGCCAGACACCAGGCCCAGACAGTGATGGTGCCGCCTGCGCTCGCCCGACCAACACGGCCAGACTTTGTTGGATGTCTTGTAAGATCGCCGTCTGTTGATCTTGCATCTCTACTACTCCTAACAAGACCGACCTCAGGGTCCTCACTTCATCATCCAACTCTGCTGGGTCTATCTCCTCTAACTCACTAATGTCCGCTTGTCGCCGCTGCAACTTGGCTTTTCTTCTAATCATTCTTTCTTTTTCTGCCTTAATCTCTCCTAAAGCCTTCTGTAGCTATGCCTCGCGATCAGCAGCTCGCTGTATGGTGACCTACTCGGGAGTCGACATTAATGGTTGGCTTGCCATTATGCCATTGAACTGACTCTGGATTTGCGCGACCGTTGACCCTGCGGTCCCTGAACTGCTAGCGTGGGAACTCTGTTGCGCAACAGTTGCCATGGCTGCTGAAGTTGCGGCTTCGCTTGCAATTGCCCTGCTGGCCTCTGCTGCCCTAGTTCTCCTCTGCTGCTGCTGCCTCTCCCTAAGCTGGCGGAACATAAATCTGTCACCCTCTGGTCCTAAGGCCAAGTGGGCTATCGGGCGTCTAGCCGATCGCAAGATCCCGTCGTCCTCACTAGTGGTGTCCCTATCGCTCATAAGCTACAGAACTGTACACAATCTGCACTAAGACACTCTTTGATGCTTACCGCAGCGTAGTGCACAGATCGACTTATAATTAAACTAATTAATTGGTGGCTGCGTCAGAGAGTATATACTTTTGGGTCCAACAGGTAAGTTCAGGTTCCTACAAACGAGACTACTTTGACTTTGACTGATTCACAAACAGAAGCACAATGAACAAAAAACAGTTCTAAACTATGATGTCTGCCAGATGTCAATGGCTGTACATCTAACTAATCAAAGATAAAAATAGAATCGCTTGCTGGGTCTGTTTGCAGAATGGAATCTTGCCCAAACTTATCACCGAGAATCTACCCCTCCCTCAGTTCTTCCCGAATGTCCCTTGTCGCCAAAGTCCCTGAGCAATCCGGACAGCGTGCGTGTCTAAAGGTGTGCACACGGCCCACCCCTGCGCCCCGAGTCCTGCTAAGCTGGCCAGCCCTGCACAATATTTATCCTCGCGTGCAGCGAACCTTACACCGACCAAGTCCTCAGGAATTCTTTAACGTCGCAAACAGGACGACGATCACAGCCAATGGAAGGTATCCCGCCGGTGCTTATTTATAGACGCCCGGTCTCGTCTGTCCCATAGGGCTGGCCTGCCCTTCAGAACCCCTCTACAGCGCAACGAGCAAACAAAGGACAAAGCGGCAAAGCATGCGTGCTCTACTCCCTGTGGGTTGGCATGGTGATCGTGACCCAGTGCTTCGTCTGGGGCCCTTCAGATAGCTCCGCCCTCTCCTTCCAGATGCTCCACGTGAAGGCTGACGACTCTCAAGAGCGCACACGACTCCTCACATGAGAGGACTCTCAAGACAGAACACACATCCTCACGGTAAGAAGTGTCGAAGAGGGTAGATAAGGTTAGGTGCAAAGTACCTCAAAATAGCTGCCCCCAACCACATATATTCTCACCAGATGACCCGATGTTGATTGTGATGACCAATCGCTGCTTCGGCACAACCAGCATTGCACAACTGTTCCACCTCAGCATCAACCACACACCGGATAGTTCTCATCACACTGCGAACACCCAATAATCACCGCTTAGCCTTCTTGTCGAACCCCTCTCCACCTGGGTCGCCTACTTATCTTCGCCCTCCTCACTACACACGTCCCACAACACAGTCGCTCACCGCACACACCGCACACACCGCGTGCATGTACTGCATTAGGCAGAAGATAAGCGCCAGATTGGCGCACCGAACCACAACTTCGATACCAAATTCCAAGGAAGATGAGCAATAGCGAGCTTCAGCAATCAGACAGCATCATACACATGAGACCAGATAGTCGTGACCTCGAACCAAAAGCAGATTTGCATCACGAGTTTCACCAAATAAGAGCACAACAAAAGCTCATAATTGACAATGCTGGAATAGTCTCATCATCATCAATCGAAGAACCAATGTTGATATCCTATCTTGCGCTCGGCGCCCAGACTACGAATGGCAGATCCTATCTAGCCTAGACTACAATGCCGCTGATGACGTCAACAGCTTCCCAAGTACGAGCAGACCTNGCGCTCGGCGCCCAGACTACGAATGGCAGATCCTATCTAGCCTAGACTACAATGCCGCTGATGACGTCAACAGCTTCCCAAGTACGAGCAGACCTCGGCCAATGCCGCACGCGTCAAGCACCAGTTATGTCTCTTGTATCACTCACAACCTCGTTCCCCAACTCACAGATGCCACTTGCACCCAAGGACCACCATGCACCCCATCCAGCATACAGCAGCACAGCTCGGCTATGGTTGCCTGCTCCTTCCAGCTCGCCCGTGAGCGCGTGAGCCTGGCAGGCGATAGCGCAGCAGCGCTTGCGCACAAAGCAGCCAGTGCCCGAATGCCCAATGCGTAGGCTGGCCCTTTCCTAAATGGAAGTGGCCAGCCTGCTTGCGTGCAGCCTGGCTGCGCTGGGCCCCTGCCCAGAAGCTTCCGGTAGGCCCAGGGAGGCTGAGCCTCACACCAAACGAATCAGGCCCAGGGCCACCGACAGTTACCCGTGCCCAACTGCCCGCTGTCTGAGTTGGGTCTATGCTGCGTATCTCGCCCAGGGCCACCGACAGTTACCCGTGCCCAACTGCCCGCTGTCTGAGTTGGGTCTATGCTGCGTATCTCGCCCAGGGCCTGACTTAGATACAGTTGATAAAGGAGGTCGGGGCCTGGGCGCCTTCAACCAACTGGCGCTGCGCAACTGCCTGAATTATCCCCAGTTGCGAACTAGTCCAAAATAGGCCTCTTGTCGTCTGTCGAGCCTGCCTTCACTTAGGGCGGCCGACCTGTTGCAAATAGGGGCCCAATAGCGCTTATCGAGGCCTATGCCTCGGACCAGACTTTTTAGGAACAAAAAATGTTAAATTTTTAGCTCCTGAGGGTCCCCTGGATGTATCTGGACTTACTCAAGTTGGCGTTTTCAGAATGCCAGACCCTCAGGAGCTAAGAATTGACATTTTTTGTTCCTAAAAAGTCTGGTTTCAATTTTGTTCAAAAAATATAAGATGTCCGTTTTGACGAAATGGCTGTTCAATTAGCAAAATACTAAATAGTAAAATACAGACCCAGGCGCTGCAAGCATGGCAAGGACTTAACTTTTTCAAAGTTCAATTCTCAATTGTGCAAGCATAGCAGAGGTGTCTGCCCCACGCCTATAAGTTGTGCCGGCCTTGGAAACTATGTGTGCACTGCTGCTTTGTTACATTACTCCTGCGGCGAGTCCTGCCCAACATGGTTTGTCAGAGCTCTGCGGGTACGAGTATTGATGTATCATTCCTCACGTGCCTAAGTGCACACACCCATCAAACACACACAGATTGGGACAGTATAAGTTTGGTTCTGTTTATGACACTTTATGTGTGTATCTTTAAGGGTGGGACCCCACTGGACGGCGGCAAGCCTTTGGAAGATATTTTTTGGGACTCCACTGCTGGCGGCAAATGCAAGCATTTTTGTTTCCACTCTGCCTACCGCCGCTTTTTCAGCACACCAACCAATCCCCGTGCTTCCGTTCCACACGGGATGGGTAACTCTAGAGGGCGTGTTTGCCTACCTCATGAGCTCGGCAAACACACCCTCTAGATTCACCCATCCCTTGTGGAAAGGAAGCATAGCGGATTGGTTGGTGTGCTGAAAAAGAGGAGGCAAACTTGCCCGAAAAGGCAAGTCTTCCTGATCGGTTAACTTAAACCTCGGGAAGTGCCGAAAATTGCTGTGGCGGTGGAGTCCCTTTTCGGTTGCCCATTCCCGTCGGCTATGATTCTGGGCTGGCGGATGTTTTCCTGGCGCCAAGCACCGCCAAGCAGTGGGGTCCACCCTAAGTCACAATTGCACGGACACTTCTGCAAACAATGCAAAGCACATTGTTAGACAAAAGCCATGAGGGCAGTGCAGGGGTGCCTCAGAGCAGGCCTAGGGCAGCCGCAAACAAATTAGAAAGGGCCAACAGTATTCTGGGCTTAACCTCACCTCAACTGTGGGAGGGTGATTGTGACCACAGGTACCCATGATGAAGTAATGATCGGCATGTTGCCACAGGGGCCTTGATCAGGCAAAACTCCTGACCGGGTTTGAAAATTGATGGCTATGGACAGTGGTGGCTCAATCCAATGCACGCACACATAGAACCACATACACAAGAATGGCAGAACTCAGTTCACCTCTCACCTGTAAAGAATTCATTAATTTCATCCTGTGCTTTGCTCCTCAAACTCCCATTGCGGGCTCCGTAAAGCCTCACTTCTTTCAGGTCCGCATTATATATAGGGCTTGGTATAGGTGGCAGTCCGGGCATGAACCGGCCGTAAGCTTGTGGTTGGTCCGCGATCAATGGAGGAGACCCCCCAACCGCTGCAACAACATGAAGACCCAGAGGAGATCCTGTCTGAAAAACTCCTGGAGGTCCATTTGGTGGTGATGGCACCTTCTCGTAGAAGTCGAGCGCACCCTTAACGAGTTCTACTCTGTACCACACACAAATCGGACATAGTAGCGATTCAAAACATGTCAAAGTCGCACCAGAGCTGGGACTTTCCCTGCAAGTATCAGGTTGCAAGTACGACTCCATGTCAAACATGTAGTACTGTGTGAGTATGCCACTGCTCACCAAATGTGCAATATGAGAATGAATCTTTCGCTAGAACATGGAAAGATACACCACCATAGGTTTCTCTTTTGTGCATGTGGTGAGTAGTGGAGCAAGGCCCATGGGGCAAGAGATACACCACATTCCCATATGCCACAGAACAGCACCAAAAAAAAACAAGGAAGGAAAGAAAAAGGTCGATGAAGCACAACATTAGAAGATCAATTAAGGGTCCGACCAACTAACCTCAGAGCCCTCCAATGGCAAATCGTCCACCGATCCTTACCAACCCCGGAGTGGATCACATCAAGAACAGACCTTGAAGAACGCGGGATCCTCTCCCCCCTATGCACCTTCTGTTGGAAAAGTTCCCCCAAACGCCAGGCCACACTGGAACATCGCCTTTTGGACTGGCCCATGGTAGCCCAACTGGGGTTGGTGGGACGCGGCATGGCACTACCTCACAGGCACTCGGCTGCCATGGGATCTCAAGACCATCCTCCTGGGAGAAATGCCCCCACAATCGGTCAGGTGGTCTCCCTTCATGATTAATCTTCTTAAAATCACTTGCTTGCCAATGCTGATGGCGGTATGGAGGATGAGGTGTGCCCATCAATGTAAACAATACACATTTGGATGAGTGGGCAAGAGCCGCGGTTGTCGAAGCAATGACAACAAACACGCATGCTGCATGGAAGGAACTTCAACAAATGCTGGCAAAAGAACCTGAAGAAACGAAACGTAACGACCTTGCAGCAAACTTCAGGTCAGTATGGGTGGACAATGCAGAGAGACTCCTCAAACTGGGCCAACACAACCACCTAAGGTGGAAACCGTGGCTGTCCACAGAAAACCAATGGCAACGATTACCATGTGACCATTTTACCATCCCCTTCCAACCGACCAATTTCATTCTACTCTAAGAAGNTGATTACCACGTGACCATTTCACCATCCCCTTCCAACTGACCAATTTCATTCTACTTTAAGACAATCCCTTGCTGCCCCCCTCCCCCCCCCATCTTACCCTTTCCATCCGTTTCATCCACTTCCTTGCCCCCCCCTCCTCCCGGCCCTCGCCTACGCCTACTTCTTCCCACGCCCTCAAGCTGTGTGCCAGCCAAGCAGGGACTCCCTCCCAAAGAAACAAAGAACCTCAGCTAGGGATCAGGAGGTGCAGCAACAGGGATAGGTCACGTGGAATGGAATGTGCAGTCCGAACACAAGATGGGAAAGGAGAGACTGGGACATCAGAAGGCCAAAAGGCTAGTACTGAAGACTTACGGAAGACATATCACGGTGCCAAGACATACTGTGTGGGCAACGCAATGGCTTCCTGAGGCCTATCCATAATGATTACTGAGTAACTTTTGACAACATAACTTGGAGATGGGGGGACAGATTGAACTGAGTCAGGGTGTGAGCATCTGTGGGCTTAATGACAACCGTGGCACAAAGGAGACGGGGTGGGGAGAGGGGGATATGGCCAACGTGGGTAGAAATAGGACAACAACACAGCGAAATCAGTAATGACTACAATATAGATTGAGCCACACCAGAGCGATGATCCGGATGACTCTAGGATGGGTTTTAAGGGTACTGAAACGAAAGGAAGGACAACATAACTTCATAAAGTGGCGATAGGTTGAAAGGCTCCGCTGCAACAGAGTTGGAGCAAATGGTGTGACAACAGAGTTGGAGCATAGGATGTCACACAAGAGTTAATATTCCAAAGGTTTGTAGACTAGGGTTTAGGGTTTAAGGCGGCAGATAAAAAATAACAGTCAACACATCTTACCATGGGACTTAACAGAACTTAACAGTAGGGGTCGGGGTACCAGATCCCTCACATTGGCGGCGGGGGGGTAGGTAGGGCAGGACCATCGCTGCTCAATACAAACCACAAGTCATAAGGACATGATATATTCAGTGCCCCTGAACTGGTAGAGCTATGAAAAGGCGGACATAATGTAATAATGTAATAATGGGATGCTGGGCCCAGTTTCCAACCGGTGCAGCTCCCCACCAATAGATGGAGCCTTCACACACAGGGCCCTGCTTCGCGAGGATGCTCTTACCAACTGGCTAAGTAGGTCACCCAAGCCTGAAGTTGTGGGGGCAAAAAAAGAAGAAAAGAAAAAAGAAGAAGATCAATTAAACCACCAGTACCTGGCCCAGCTATCGGCCACGGCGCTTCCCGTATACGCGCCGCGCCATTTGGGCTTCGGCCTGCCGGACCGCATTGGCTGGAGGCCGCAGGCAAAATGAAAAAGAAAATTGCGACGGCGGTTCGGCAGGACTTGGCGCGCAGCGTGCTGGGAGGCTCGGATTCAATAGCTGAGCGAGGTACTGGTGGTTTAAGGGGTTGTGTGTGGACTGGCTAGGGGGAGAAACAGGGGGATGGATGCCGGATGACTCTTGGGAAGGGTGGTGTAGCGACGAGCCTCAGAACCAAGGCTTAATGGACTGCAATTACTTGCTGACCTTTAAGCGGCTGGTACATGACCCCGGCCTTGTGGAGACTTGTTCATCACCTACTCCAGAAAAGTCAGAGCCGCCCGCCGTCCATAAAATACATCAGCGCTGGCATCATGTTTCGGCCTCTGAAAAGGGGCCCCGACCGATGTATAGCTTGCACTGGTGGTTTAAGGATTGGACCTGTTGTGCTCCACACTAAAGTTTCTGGTTTAAGGATTGGACCTGTAATGCGCCGCATTAAATTTTCTGGTTTAAGGATTGGACGGTTTGGACCTGTATTGCTCCGCATTTCCACATGCGGCCCCATCGGGTTCCCAGATCTCCCCCCCCCCAACCCCCTCAAACTTGTCTGTGGTAGACCTGGAGTGGTTTGGACCAGGGTGAATGTGGCCCCTCTTCTTGCAACCTCTTCAGCGAAGATACAATGAGCATCTAAGTTCCTGTGTTAAACTTTCCCCCACAAGAAAAGAGATGGGGCTGTCTAGGAAGGAATGATGGGGGTCTGTCCTTAGGCATGTTAAGTTTGCCGATGTGAAAGTCAAAAGTTTTGTTTTGCTGTTTACTCTTTTCCATCTCGACTTCCCTCTGAAGTTTCTAGGCAGTCACAGACTTGGTCTCACTGATATCTTTTGGCAGTCTTGGTGGCTGAAGAGGTCTGGGCGTTTTTTGGTCCCCGCAGTTGCGCATTCTCCGAGTCAAACGCAGACATTAAATCCCTGTCGTTTTACGTGTGACGTGCCAGCTTCCGTACCCGAACGGACTTTGGAGGCCCTGGATTTTGCTATGCATTCATTTTCCCTAATACTCTAAAGCAAAACGCGGGTCTCGCGTGACGCTTCCCAGGAGTACCCGTTGCCAGTTGGGCCCAGGCCGATTCGGGCCACAGGCGGAATCAGCCGAAGCAATTTCTCAGGCCCAGGGCGATTCGGGGACCAGGCCGAATCGGCCGAAGTAATTTGTGGGTTTTTTTCGCGCCGACGATTTTGTTTTGGGCCGCTTGGCCGCTGTTTCGATTTCGTCATCGTCTGTTCGAAGTTTCATTTGACGTCGGCTGTTTGGGGTGAACGTGGTAGGATTCCGTCGGTGTTTGTTTGAATTCCGTGATCAATTGTGACGAAGGGAGATGAGGGAGTGAAAGTGATGAGGGAGGTTGATTGGAAGTGCAACGTGGTTGGTTTGACGGTATGATAGGTGTATACGGGAGGACATCAACTGCCATATCGGCTATTGTGACGAAGGGAGATAAGGGGTTGAAAGTGATCAGGGAGGTTGGTTGGAAGTGAAGCGTGGTTGGTTTGACGCGTCAAGCAGCTGAGAAAGCGGAAGTGAAACATGGCAGATCAAGGTATGACGTTGACATACGTTTTCTGTTTTTGTTTCTTTTCTTTTTGTTTTTTCTGTTTGTTTCTTTTTCTTTCGTTTCGTTTTTGGTTCGTTAATGCTGAGACTATTGATTCGATAGAATTCCTGGAGAGAGAGAGAGAGAGAGAGAGAGAGAGAGAGAGAGAGAGAGAGAGAGAGAGAGA